TAACAACTTTCATAACAAATATATATGAAGAAGGAGTTTTGGGCTACCACTTAGAAAGGAAATGTCTCATTCGTCAACTCCATCAACCAGAGACTTGGGGGACTCCTACCATATGCTACTGCACCTTGATACTCGGAAGTCTCACGACCACTCAGTGACTTGGATTTTTCAAGTCTCCAAACGAGAAGTTTTTCCCACTCGGGAAATTAAGGGAGCACTACCTCAACCTACATGCTTCACTCACAAAGCTTCAACATACAAGCTTCAACAAAAGGAAAAATTCAAAGAACTCAGTGAAGAAGGCCTTGTTGTATTTAACACAATACGTTGAAATGAAGCAAAGCTTGTTTATTGATATCTCCGATAAGTTACAAATATGTACATATACATGAATCAAAATAAACAAACAAGAGGGAGCTTTTACAAAGGTTGCTCAGGAGAAGTCTCAGCAGTCGGTAGAGCCCCAGAAAGAGGAGGCACCAGAGGGTGATTATTTAGAGCCTCAGTACTAGGCAGAACCCCAGAAGGAGGAGGCACCGAAGGTTGATCATTTGGAGCTTCATTACGCGGTACAGCCCGAGAAGACGAAGGCAATAAATGTCTTTGGAACAAACCCACAAACCTCTGATGATCAAGTAAAATCTGACCATCAGATTCCTGCAGCTGGTCGAGCTTCCTCTTCATGTTTGTAGCATAGTCATGTGCGAGCCTGTGCAACTGTTTATTCTCATGCTTGAGCCCTCTAATCTTCTGCTTGAGACTTATCACTTCAGCCGTCAATGATTCAACTAGGCGGGTTCGAGCAAATAGGCGTTAGGCCATGTTAGACACAGAACCTGCACACTGAACACTGAGAGCCAAAGAATCCTTAATAGCCAACTCATTAGACTGTTTGGAAAGTAATATGTTATCTTTGGGAGTGAGAAGGTTCCTGGCCACCACCGCAGCGGTCATATCATTCTTCATCACAGAGTCCCCAACGATAAGAAGACCAGTAGGGGATAAGAAGGATGGGTACCATATGTTGTCTTGAGAAGGCATGGCTGCCTCTTCACCAAAGTTCAAGTCAAAACGACGGTCGGATGGGCCAGACATTCTCAAAAATGATGAAGGAGAAATGAGGTGCAATAAATCTTTGAAGTAAGGGGAAAATTCCTACAAGCAATAACTCTCTGAATGTACTTCTTGCACACAATTGGTGCCTTTATAAAAGAAAGGGCAACAGGGCTGTTGGTTCAAAAATCGAAGAGACACCACTCTCCAGATTCCGAAGAGGCACCACTTTCTACACGCAACATCAGCTCATCGAGTACCATATATAACTTTGCCAAAGATCTCTAACAAAGTTTAGACACATAAATTTTGAAGGTCCAGCTACCCTACTATTACCCACAAGGGTAAAGGAACAACACCATTGCTTGATAACTAGAAAGTCCCAATATGTGTCAACCTCCGTGCTCCGTGGTAAGGCAGACTGGCAAAAATGCCTAACCTTTACTCACATTCGAGAAAACACTCCCAACAAGATTGCTTGCTCAAAAATCGAAGAGGCACCGCCCTCCGAATCTCGAAAGCCAAACTCCCAACAGGATTACTTTCTCAAAAATCGAAGAGACACTGCTCTCCGAATATCAAGAGTCAGACTCCCAACAAGATTGCTTTCTCAAAAATCGAAAAGGCACCGCTCTCCAAATCTCGAGAGCCAGACTCCTAACAGGATTATGTGCTCAAAAATCGAAGAGACACCGCCTTCCGAATCTTGAGAGTCATACTCCCAATAGGATTACTTTCTCGAAAATCGAAGAGACACAACTTTCCGAATCTCAAGAGTCAGACTCCCACATGATTGCTTTCTCAAAAATCGAAGAGGCACCGTTCTCTGAATCTCGAAAGCCAGATCCCCGACAACATTGCTTGTTCAAAAACCGAAGGGGCACCGCTCTCCGAACTTCAAAAGCCAGATTTCCTTGGATAAAGCTTGTCTGTAATCTTGACATGCAACATCAGCTTTCCAGATACCATAGACCACTTTTTCAAAGTGCTCTAACAAAGTTAAAACACGTGAAACTTGCAGCTCCTACTACATTGCTATGACCAATAAAGGTAAAGGAATATCACTAATACTTGTTGTTAGGGAAACTCCTATATATGTCGATCTCCATCCTCCACAGCTAGGCAAACCTGCAAATAAAAAAAATGCTCAACTTTTCTTCACATCTGAAAGGGCACTCTCAGCAGAGTCTCTCAAAATACTCAGCTTCTATTCCTCCCGATAATACCTCTGCAAACAAGCCACACCAGAGCAAGAGTATCTCATATCATCAGGGTTAAAAGCAAAAGTATCCCATATCATGCTTTTTCCCTGTCTTTTCCTTTGGCCTTGTTCTTACCTGCAAGATAAGGAGAAAGAGAGCAATCAGTCAGCACTTGGAATTAAGCTTCCAGTCAGGAACTGACTGCCTGGAACCCCTTACCTGATTACTTACCTGGCATTGCTTTCGAGTACTCATCTTCAACGTCTTATGCTTCTTGAAAAGATACCACATTTACCTGAGGAACAGATAGGGCAAGTGAGAAGGATACAAGGAAGCATGTGGAGACAAGCGTAACAGAACACGTGCTGATACATCCACTACTTTGTTAACAGCAAAAGTATCCCATATCATCAGGGTCGAACATACTCTAGATTTGATGGACTTGTTTTGACCCTCAAATTCTTGAGTCGGCCTTATACTCTGGAGGAAACCAGAAAACCCTCCAGCCCAGTTCAAGAATAAGCATGTGGAAAGTTACTTCTTCAAAAGCAAAATTATCTCATATCATCTCTTTTCCATTTGCTTCTCCTTATCCTTGTTGCTGTTTACCACACAAGGAGAATGAGAATAATCAATCGGAACCCGAAGTCGAACCTCCGATCCAGGTTGCTTGCTTGGAAGTCTGATTGCTTACCTTGTCTGTTACCTCCTTCGGCAAATGTCCTAACTCGACGACTTGGGGCATTCTGACTATAAGGTTTGTATTGCACTTGACCAAGCCCAAAACACAAGTAAGCTTCAAGTGAAATTGATACATTACCTTGTGCATCTTCATCGGTTAAAGATACCACCCTTGGATGGAGGAAAAGTACTTCCACAAAAGATGCCACATCTACATATGAGACAGATAAGGCAAGTGAAAATGATACCACACTTCGGTACTTAGAAGTTTCATGATTACTCAATAGCTTGGATCTTGCAAGTCCCCAACCGAGGAGCTTCCCTCACTCGGGAACTTAGGGGAGCACTGTTTGTATCATACTTGACCAATCCCGAAACTACTAAGCACCAGTCAACGTTATACCGTCAAGGACCTAGAAGAGTTTCTCTCCAACCAGGAGGCCAATCACAGCGCGACATGTGTCGACATCAAAAGCTAATCATAGAGCGACACGTGTCAACATCAGAAGCCAATCACAACATGACACGTGTCAATGTCAAAATGAAACTAGAAACTCTCTTCTATAAATAAAGATCATTCTCTCACAATATTTCCTAACGTCATTTGTACTAAATCATTCACTAGTACTCACTAAAGAAGAGCTTGAACCTATGTACTTGTGTAAACCCTTTACAATTAATGAGAACTCCTCTACTCCGTGGACGTAGCCAATCTGGGTGAACCACATACATCTTGTGTTTGCTTCCCTGTCCCTATCCATTTGCTTACTTATCCACACTAGTGACCGAAGCAATCTAGCGAAGGTCACAAACTTAACACTTTCTGCTGTACCAAAGTCCTCGCTAATTTTGAGCATCAACATATGGCATCGTGATTTATCTGAAAAAAATTGGGTATGTATCACGAGGTAGAAGAAGGCAAGGATCTTGTACAACGATTTATTTGGTGTCTGTATCTTGTACAACCATATACTTCATTGGAGATCATTGTACAAGATACAAAAGACCAAATACAAGGTACATACACCAAACAAATCATTGTACAAGATCCTATGTCTTTTTCTACCTCATGAAGGACAGAGAAGGAATTTGTTCAGAAGCTTTGAAATAGTTTGAAGGGTGGTACGTAAATATTATTCCCGATATTGATTATGAAAGCATTGGGGATCGATTTAACCTTAACCCATTTTTCATCACTTTTTCTTTTCATTTCCAAACCTTCTACCTGTTCTTATCATAAAATCACAAGATCGTATGCATGCTTATGACTGACTACCCCAAGAGCTAAGTCTGCAAAAGGATAAGGGGGATACGAATTAAATTGTAGGTAACTTGTATGCTCTTGAGAATAGCTTGCAAACCTATTGGTTGGCAACACCAAGCTCAAGCCAATTAGCTCCATCAATCGAAATGTTAGTTTTTTCATTTTCTTAGCATTATCTTCACATACATCACTAGTCAAAATAAAATAGTCTTTTATATGATAAACCAAGTTTTTAATAATTATGAGGTTGCAACACAAAGAATTAAGTTTTCATTGGCTTATCGTAGCTAAGGATGGCAGTTATTTTTTCACTTGGTTAATCTCTTATCTGATGGGTCACCAGAAATAGGGAATGTTGTTGGCTGATCGACCGTGTAGTCAAATGATTGTTTCCAATCTTTGACATTGTGCGTCAATTCATTGTCAAAGTATCCAAAAATATGCTTTTTGACAACTTTATTATATTTTCTCTTCTCCTCGGTATGTATCATGAAAAAAACTTATGAATGTGTATCGAACGTCTTCTAATTTTGAAATTGGAACCTATGATTTATAACTCGGAAGAATCCCCAAGTCTGACAGGCGCTACCAATTTCTCTTACAATTGTTTGAATATAGAAAGATTTTAATTTCTCAATACTCTCCTCTCTAAGGTTCCTGATCCTTGCGTTTATCTTGAATGAAATCTTGGATAGACATATTATTTGTAAGAAATGGATTTTTGTTTTTTATGAAATGGAAGAGAAATGGTTATGTGATTTCAAATTGGAAACTTAGGCTAAAAGGTTTGTCTTATGCAGGAGTTGAAGAGGAATGATGGGCTTTATATATGGATATTAGTGAGCATATTTCTCTGTAATATTACAAAGAGATTTTCATGTCGCTAAAATCATACTTTGAGCGGCAACTAGCAAATATACCTTCAGTAGATCCAACTTACACGAATCCAAAAAATGGCAGATGCCATACATACCTAATCTTTAGGTAAAATTAGTAAAAGTGCCCGTGCGATATTGCGGGTGTCTCAAACGTTTTGAAAATATATACATAAGTTCATCGTTGTCAAGAGATTGACCGTGTTCAATTACTCATTGTTCAAAACATAGGGATGCTAATAAAGCTAGATTTATGTACATAATTTCATAGTTATCAAAATATTAGCAGTTTTCAACTGCCCATTGCTCAAAAGATAAAGAAGCTACGAAAGCTTGATTCACTTAAGATAGATGTGCCAAGAAAGTTATCAATCGAAGAACAATTAAATGCCAATCTTTCAGTTTCGAGTACAATTGCACTTTGTGGTTAAAATTCACACATGGTTCACAAATTTGTTGTCAAAGCTCACATATACTAAGAACTACGGATCGTGTAACTTTATCATCACAAATGACATTTGCAATTTACTTTTCGATTTAAAACCTTAATTATTCATTGTCAATTAAAGAAATGGCTAAATTGGCTGGAAAACTCTACTCATAGTTTACAATTCTACAAATGTCAAAGCAAGTATGTAGTATGTATTGCTGCTGACCTTGGCTTCCCAGAAGTAGAGATCAATGTGACAAAGTGAAGTATATTTGACCTTGACCTTCATTTCCATGGCCTGAGGTGGAGCAACCTCCACCCTCTCCATCACCAACGGCTTCCCGGCCTCCCATGCAACCACTGGTGCAAAAACACACAAAAAAACCCAAATTGAGTAGTGTTAAACTTTAGCCTCAGATATCCTTTGGCAGACATGCAGAATGAAGAATAATGACCCTAGCGAGCAAAGAAGCTGAATACGGAAAACTTGATTGTGAAAGGTTCAAAGTTCCCTCTTTGCCTGCAAGATAAATAAATGTGTTAAAACTTTTGGAAAGAAGAACATGAAATTTGAATGACCTAGATAACCAGAGAGAGGAGGGTACCATGCAAAAATAGCGTGGTTTAGAATAGGGTACACCGAACTGTAATGGACTCAATATGAACTCCTGCGTAACAAAATATGTTCTTTCCAATATCTCCATGATTTTTGTTTGCTTATCAGATGTCTGTATCCAAGAGATAAAACAAAGGAGTTGGAATGAAGATGACCATTTCAGCTATATTCTTCTGTTATCACATGTGATGCGAAAGAGAAGAAAGATGAGTGGTTTTTTTGGTGTTTTCAGCTAATTCGTCCATATATATATACACTTTGGGTCACGGCTTTGACAAAAAATAATATGGCCAAAATGCCCCTCAACCAAAAAAATCAAAAGCAGCATAAAATAATCCAAGGGTAATTTTGTAATTTTAACAGTGTTTTTTTTTCTAATAATTAATTTTTGGGTGCTTTTTTTTTGTTTTTTAATAATTAGTATCTCACAATAGGTTAGCAATAATGTGATTTAATTTCTTTATTTTTAAACACGTTCGAAACATCTTAATATGCATATAATGTCAGTTATAAAAAAGGTTTTTCCGCACGCGGATAATAATATGATTAAATTAATTGTCAAATGATTGTTTTTTTTAACAAAAGATATTATCTACACTAAGGGAGAGAGGGTGGACTTAACCTCACAATGGGCTAGCAATAATGTGATTCAATCAATTGTTTATTAAATATTATTTTCTCTATTCTTAATATAAATTCTATAGAGACCAATTTTATTATGTGAATTCGGCTGCTTTAATTGGTTTATGAGGGGTTTCTTCTAGCATGATCTAAAATTATTCATTAACTTCAAATATTTGACCTTCCCTTTGTCAGTTTACTCATATAAATACATTTAAAACGTGTAAGTCACGAATAGCAAGCCGTGATTCAAAAAATGTCTTCACATTCGTGCATGAAGGCTAGTTATAAATAAAGAGAGACGAAAATGTGAATAGTGTTTTGTTGTCACCAAGTTTCAACAAAAAAAATTGGACAACAATGCCCTCAAAACAAAAAACTTCAAAGGCATCCCAAAATAACGCATCAAATAAGGCAGGGGCATTTTCATTTTAATAGTATTTTTTAAATAATTAAATTATTTTGTGGTTTTTTTTTTAAATTAGTATCTCACAATAGGCTAGCAATAATTTGATTTAATTTATCTATTTCTAAACACATTCAAAATATCTTAAGAGACGTGTAATGCTGGTTATATATAAAGAGAATATAAAGGTGAATAGTGATTTGGTGTCACCATGATTCAACCAAAAAAATTGGACAAAAATGCCCCTAAAACAAAAAACTTCAAATGCATTCCAAAATAATACATCAAATAAGGTAGGGGCATTTTCATCATTTTAACAATATTTCTTTAATAATTTACTTTTTGGTGCTTTTTTTTTTATAATTAGTACCTCACAATAAGTTAGCAATAATGTGATTTAATTTCTTTATTTTTAAACACATTCAAAACATCTTAAGAGGCGTGTAATGTCAGTTATAAAAATAAAAAAAAATTGCACGCGGATAACAATGTGATTAAATAAGTTATCAAATGATTGTTTTTTTTTTAACAAACGATATTATCTACACTAAGAGGGAGAGGGTGAGCTTATGACACACCCTAACCCGGAATGTCCACTAGGACTCCGAATCGAGCTGTGCTGGCCGACACTTGGAAGGTGACGAAGCCATAAAGTATAGTGATGTGGAAAATGTGAATAAATTTGAACCTAAAAGTGCCTAAAGACAAGAGTGCGTTGTGAGCGGGAATGAACCCATTTCACACACGACGTCAAAGCATAAATAAAGTACAATAGTGTGGGTAAGGATCATACCCTCAGAAGTAGTCACCTATACTAAGATTCACCACGAATCCTCATCGATACGAACTTTTAACAGCTAAAACCTGGACTTGAAAATAAAGTTTTAATAAAACCTTTTGAAAACGTTATATAACCCCTCACCGTAAAACCCATATAATTTTCCAAAAAATAATAATACATACGTATATAAAAAATCATGCTCGAGAGTAGTGAAAACCGAGTATATGCCATGTCAAGTATCTCAGCAATGAAATAAGTAAGCCAGGTGAAATAAATCAATGTAAAATGATATGCCAGTAGAAGTCACCTAACATGACATGTATGGCTGAACCTATAGCTCATTAACCAATTCATGCACATGAGTCGGAACCATCTAATGTGGTATGTATGACAGGCTGGGTGTAAATAAGTACGCTTAAGTGCTACGATCACGTGAAGGCTGTGCGAAATATCGCAAGTCACGTACAAGTCGGAACCACCTAATATGGTATGTACGACAGGTTGGCACCTGCCTTGGAACCAAGGTAAGCGTGCGGTGCAGGAGGTGAACGATCACGTGAAGGTTGACCCTAGCCTCGAGTCAGCACTAACATCGGGGTGCAGGATAATGAACACTAAATGCATCTAAACATAACCATACACACTGCAATCACTATCATCAACATGTACTCACATGAAGTTTATATGGGCGTCCGCAGCGTCATGCAATAATATGCATATCTATACTAATGCATACACTAAAATGTAATGCAATTGACATGGCATTTAAAAACGTAAATCCATTTAAAACAATTTCTGGGAAAATAGAAACCATATATACGTATATATAGAAAACCAAAAGCCCACTCACCTGGAGTCCGTGCTACAACTCCCTAACACAAACATCAAGGCGTCACGAACGATCGGCGCCTAGAACAATTATCAAATCATGTCTTAGAATTCTTATCAAAAGAACATATAACTTACATATCCTATTTGGGAAAATCCGTACGTCAGATTCTGATTAGTAAGTTTCTAATATCCTCAAATATTACGTATTATAACGTATCAAAGTTTGGTGACGATCCAATAGTCGGATCGTCGATTGCTATAAACTAAGTTCAAATGACGGAAATTCATCAATTAGACTTCATCAATGGAATCAGGGTATTCAAATTTAACCTAGGAACGTCAGGGAACGTCTCGGCCCACTCGCCGCCGTAGGTGGCAGTTGGCCGCCCCGACTCGCCGGAAAATCCAACTATTTTTTAAAATTCTTAGATTTTACAGGAATGAAGATCTCAATGATTAAAGCAACTTTCATACCTATGACTAAGGCCAATTTGGCCAGAAAAAAGCCCCAATTCCACTAAAACTCGTCGGAAACCCTTAAATTTGGTGTTCTTGACTCAACTTCAAACAAGCTCTGACGCCTCCAAGGTTGATTAGGCTTTGTTTCTGGGTTCAAGGAGAATCTAGTGGTGGTAGAGATCAAAGGACTTTGCTTCAAAAATTGGCGAATTGCCACCAAGAACACCACGGTGCCGCCGGTGCCATTCCCATGAAACCAAGACCAAATCTTGTCTAATTTGTGTGGAAAATCGAAGAGGGAAGGCTGGTGAGAAGTTCCCAGGTGATAACTTGGCGTAAATCGTCGGAAATTGGCCGAAACAACCATCGAAACCCATCAAGTCGCGGGTCGGGTCGTAGAGAACGGGTAAGGGATCCATGATCCCGTGCTTCTCACCCTTCTCCTTTCCCCTTCTTTCTTTTCTCCCCCATTGGTCACTCTCTTTTTCTCTTCTTTCTAATTGGGCGTACCACCCCTCATTTCTCTCCTTTATACTTCATCTCCACCGCCCATCTTTTCTGTCTTTAAATCTGGGCCACACACGTGGCTTTCCAGATTTTGCTCCAAAAATCTAGAGCTTTCTAGAAAGGGAGTTTTAACGAAAAGCCCACGGTACTGTTCACTTTAACGAAAAACCACATTTTTACACTAAAAAGTCAAACCTGGTACTATTCACTTTACCCTTTATTTTGTCCTTATCATTAAAACTCAAAGTTTTCAAACCCTTTTCATTAGTTTTCCTTTCTAGAAAATAACCAATTTACTAAAATGCCCCCAACTTTAAACGTTAATATCTTCTTCGTTATAACTCCAAATCACGACCCGTTTACGCCCACGCGCTCGTAGAGACGAGTACTATGAAGATATGCCAAGAAAATAAGTCTTACGTGAAATGACAAGGCAATCAACAAAAGTCAAAGCTTTATCTCGAAGGGCATTTTCGTAAATTCACTTTTTAAAATTATAAAACTCATAATAATTAGGAACGGGTCGTTACAGCTTAGCCTCACAATAGCCAAGCAATA